TCTCACTAAAGACAGTGTCTACAGCAGCAGAGAACTCTCTCGGAGTTGCAACAGGTGGAACCATGAGCTAAGCTCCAATCTGTATGGGTATCTACACCACCTACACTCCACCAAGCGGGTGGCATCCCCAAAGTCATAACTCCTTTCAAGCTGCAGCAGTATCTCTAGTGCTCAGATGCTTGCTTTCATTCAGAACGTGCTTTGTTATGAGGAAAGAATTGGAAAATTTTTCATATATCTCCATATTTATACCTGGCACTCTGATGATAAGACTGCCATTTGCTTCTATTTCAAACTAAGGGTTTTCAGCGCTGCTTGCCCCCATGCCCATTTCAGAAGCCTATATAAATCTTCCCCCACATGGGAGTCATTTTGAGTGTATTAAATAATTATTTTTCTATGTCTCTCCCACTTTGATGTAGCCTCCTAGGAGAAAGAGCTATCCTGGATATACGACTTGGCCATGTTTTAACAATTTGACGATCTCTTCAAAATCCTTCAATAAAATGTAAGTTGAAAAAAAAAAAAGAACTTCTGCACTTAGCTCAGTTGATAAGAGGCCCTGTCCCCCACAAATTATAATGTAGTGACTTTTTGAACATATACTTTAAATTCACAATCCGTTTCTTATTTTTAAAGCTATTTTTTTATCATTTGATTAATTGCTTAAAACTGTACACAAAGATAAAGGGAACTTTGAAATTCATACCTTGGAGTATTAACATGTACTCAGGACTAGATGTAAATGTCAAAGAGAAAAAAGATCTAATGAACTCTTTATTGGTAAAATACAGTATTGCAGCTGCCTAGAATTTTAAATGGTTCGTAGCTAGCTCCACAGCAAAATAACCACAGAAGTTTACTTACAGCATAGACTCTCATTCAGCATTTCTAATGTCTTCTTCCAGGATAGACAGAAGACATTCATTTTGCTAGAAGTTGCAGCTACTTCATTTTCTTGAAGTTTAGTGGACCGTTTTAACGTTAACAAAATGTCCAGGAAAAAAAGAATTAAAGAAAAAAAAAAGTGCAACTGCAGAAATATTTTTCTGTCTAGAAAATTACACAACCATAAGTTTTCCTTTTCCCTGATGTCTTCTCTGCCATAATAATGGCTTCAGGATTTAAATCCTTTGCTGCTATTGTGACTTCAAAGCCTTAAAACTGCAATTGAATGAAGTAGTTTGTCTGTCATTATTCAAATATGAAGCAATTATGATGAAATAAAGATAGAATTCCATTGAGAAATACTCCAATCAATTCTCACTTATATTTAGCTAGAAACATAAAACAATGCTTAGAAGAGTAAGTTTAGGTAATAAAAGCTTGGAATATAAAAAGTATGAATTACTTATCTATAACTTATTCATTTCTGAATAAGCTTTCTAAATATATTTCACAAATATTGACAAAAGTTTAAGCTTACAATGCAGAACTGTCTCTCAGCTGCTTGTGGAGAGTGACTAGTTTTTCAGAAATGTATTTGCATCTGTTTGGGTGCCCAGAGGTTCAGGCAGGAACCTGCTGAGATTTTTAAAGGTCTCTGAGCACCTCAGCTCCCTCTGATACATGTTAGGTCATGACATGTTAATTGTGTCTAGAACAAGATGGTTTTATACGGGACTGTATGAAAAAACACACCTACCTCAGGCATGTCTCCATTACATTGTTGTCACCGCTGGGTGTTCACACACCCCGTAAGGCCCTTCTGCACGTTTAGCCCTAGATGCTTATTTTCACTTTTGTGAACATGACAGTGGCTCAATTCAACAGGGAATTCCCACCTGTACCCAGTTCTATTTGGGAACTTGACCATAACATGATGTAACACAGGTTGAAAAGTTAATTATTTAGTTTTATTATCTTCCATCCTTTCTTTCTCCTTTCACCTCTCTTGCTTAATCTGCTCATTTATAATACTGTCCTGGTAAAATGGAAGCAAGGTGGTCAGACCAAGGGCTCCCAATGTTTTGTACATTAAGCCCTACCAATGGGTCGTGTCCTTCCCGTTCTCAATCACGCGACAAGCTCAGAGGAGAAAATAACCATATGTCTTACCTTTCTCTTCTTACTGTTCTTCTGGAAAACAAAACCATCCTCTTCTGCTTATGAAAGAGAACTTTGCCTTTTCTTTACGCTTCACGTGGCAAAACAAGTTAAAAATATCACAAATGGATCCTATAGTATCTTTCCCCTTACATTTTTAACAGTTGAAGTGAGTTTAAAAGATCTATACAATATTATATTTTTTTGTGCTGAGGACCATATACAACCAAGGATATATATACTCATGTTTATCTTCCTTCGTTTTATAGATATTTTATCACTGTACCTGGGTATCAGTTTTCTGTCATCTATAGACACTCATGTCTTGCAGTTTAATTTGAAAAAAAATAATTTCTTCAGAGATTCCGAGAAACTAAATGTTATCACAATTAGAAAGTGGTAGTACTTAATACTGGATTTTAAATAAGAGCTGTAAATAGCAAGATGTATTCAGGGTATATACAATTAATTATTTCACACGTAATTATTCCTGATACTAACATAGAGCATTTGAAAAAGCAGACTGCAATATTTTCTTTCTTTTTTTTTCACAGAAGCTCTTTTACTTGATATTCTCTCCCTAAATAATATGTAAAATACTGACACCTAATGTTAACTTTCAGTATTATTCATTTTGCAAAACTTTTACTACAAGTAGTGAAAGACCATGTGAAACTGGTGCTTATATTGCAATTATGTTTCAATAACGCACAAGAAAGCCTTCCCTTGCATTTTAGAAATAATTTTCTAATTTATATATATATGTCTCTGAAAACGAGGATTTTTGAAGTTTATCTTCACAGCTTATAGGTGAGAGTAATACAGAAAAATTAAAATAATTGAGTTTTGACTCACTGAATTTAATCATCCATCGAATGGAACATACTTATTTATAAAGTCAATATTTGTACCTGTAGCCTGAAGTATTTCTAAAGCCAAAATACTAGCAAACATTTAATAATAGTCTGTTATCTTTCAGAATCTAGAGTGTATCAGTTCAGTACATATTTTAGTATGCTACTTGGTTCACTCTCCTCAGTTAGAGACACAAGCAACTGTTGTCACTGTTCAGGAATTTAATACAAATGCTAAACTGGGACGTCAAAATTCACTACTTATCTCCTTATAACCTCAAAGACAGCTAGACCAAACCTGATTTTCTTTACTTAGAAAGAGATTTTGAAGTTCTTACTCTTACATTAAGCTTGCCTAACTTTATAGGGAAGACATAAGTGTCTGTTAGCCATAGCTGTACAGCAGCACAAGTGCTTCAAAGGCATTGAATTAAAACCCTTTTTGACACTGTAGACCATCACAGTTTTATATTCAGTGCTTTTCTCATCAACAGTCAGTTTATGGAAAATGGTCCTTTGCTAAGATCACGTCATTTTACAGATGAAAGTAGCTCCGTTGCAGATGCAAGTATAAAAATAAACCCGCAGTGACTGAAATACAGATACCTGGTCTGCAATACAATGCTCCAGTCTCAGCCGAATTAAAGAGCAATGACGTCAACGTAATCAAAACCTCTTGAGTGAGCTGGAGCTTTCCAACTGATTAAGACTTCTGTGCTATTCTTCATGACAATATTCTAGTTTAAGAAGCTCTTCTTACTCTTCACAGGTCCTAAAAATACCAACAAATGCTTTATTTGCAGCTCTTTCAGCTTTCCCCTACACATAACAGCCAATGAAATTAGTATTACAGCAACAGGCATTTTAAAACTACCCATTTTTAGGGATTTTTAGAGCACAAGTAGACACCGCAAAGGCCCTGAAGTTGCCCTGTGTGGCCAGAGATCCTTGAAGAGTGTGAAAATTTCAACCAGTAGAAATGCCCTTGAACCAAAATGGTTTGCAGTAGTTGTCACTTCTTCCCTCGAGTCCTTCCTCAACCTTTAAGTGGCATAAAAAGAAATACCACCAGAAGTAATTTTCCAAGTGCTTCATACACATCAAGAGAAAGCTTTAGTTGATTCTCGAAAAAGAGTACGTGCTGAATAGCACCAAACTTAGGAGCTCAGTTGTGATTTATGCTGAGGTGTTATTTATGTCTTAGAACAACTCCGAGTAAAGTGTTTGTTAAATGTAAGCAGTCTTTCTTCATTGCTCTTAGCTGCCCAATGCAAATCTCTACAAAAATTTGGGCCACAGTGTAAGTTAACAATGACATATTTGCTGCTGCTTAGACAGTTCAGAGTTCATTTTGCCTAATCCGAAATAAGCTTTGTTTAAACTGCAGCAAGTGCTCATACAGCCCTTAACACTGATTTATATGAATTTAGAGTTGTTCTCAGCTTTCTCAAGCATATGACCTCCAAAATGACTACCTAGAATGATAGAGCACATGTTTTTTCTTAGCCAACTGTCTCACAACAAAGGAGGTATCTGCAATGTAAATTTATTCTTCAATTTTTTAATTAAACCAGATTTTCAAAATGTTAGGCCCTCAGAAAAATCCAGTAGGCAGCAGTTAACAGTTCTGAAACAACTAATTGTTCAACTTTTACTTTTCAAGCACACCATGTATTTTAAATAGAATTAATAAATTAAAAATGTAAATTGGACTGTATCTTTTAACAGTTGGTGATTTGTCTATTTTCCAGGTTTTATTATGCATCATTTTTATAATAAAGAAGGATTTATTTTTTTTATTCCTGTTCTAGTTGATAGCAATTTTTCCATGCTTCTCAAAGCTAATGTAATAAAACTACATAAAATGTTTAAGAAAAGCCCCATTAAAATACACAAAGCATACTAATTCATGAAGTCAAAGTCAAAGCAGAGTGGAAATGTGAGCTTTAATAAAACTATGTCTGTTGTAAATAACTATTCGAGCACAGTCATTTTTTTGCAAATTGCATAGGATATAGCTTGGTCTACTCGAAGTAAAGAATCGCTCAGCGGGATAAATGCATCTTAGTCAGAAATAGATTAAAAGATACAGCTGAGCCATCAATAAGAACCAGATAGCACAGTATTGTTTGCTGTTTGTTTTGAAGATGTAATCGCAGATCCCAAGATTTCAATAAATCTGTGCACATCATGGAAAGAATTGTAGAGAGGAACTGGGGCAACACGAAGAGCATTTGGTTCTCGCATGTCACACTGCAAAACAGAAAGGGAATGCTTAGTAAATTCAGGTCACTTGATATTTACCTGTCAGAGACTATTTTAAAATGTCACTCTTGTCTTCCAGGAAGAATGACTGGATTGACAAGGAGACTCACGTAAAAATTTTGGGACCCCCAAGAAACTACAGCGAGAAGCATCACTGTGAAGAGTATAGCAAGAAGAGTGGTGTGCTGCCTACAAAATGGTGCAAGGCTCAGGATGGGCAAGACTCCAGAAGTGCCAATGAGAAGCTCTCAACCAGTTACGTATCCCCATGATTTACCTTAGTGCCTACAGCAAGCCCTAGTTGAAGAGGCACACAGATGACCAAAAAAAAATAAAATAAAGCCACCACAAAACAGAAAGATGTCAGTATGATAGAATGTCTTGTGCTACAGGCACAGGTGATATCACAGGGCTTGCAGTATTCTTCTTCCCCCCTACCTCTGTGTGTTTGAACATTTCGCTGAGAAGAATAACGTCTCGTATTTGAAGTATATTACTGTATCACAAATGCAAGCCAAGAGTGTAAGGCCCTGTGCCCACCTAAAAGCAGCAGTTCCTGGAATTCCCTGGCAGCACCAACACAGCAACATTTTTAGCCTAGAAGAGTTGTCCTTTGGAGACACAAGTCACCAGCAGAAATAAAACTCATATATCATTTATATGTTGTTACGCTACCAGCCTCACCTCCCGGCACTGCCAAATCACTGAGTATACAGCCTTAAAACTCAGCTTTTAGTCTTTTTGATCAGTGCTCACAGGTAACTGTGCCTTCACATGGCACTGCCCTTCTGTGGCATCTCTGAGTGATAAAACACATCTCTAAGGACATGACAGAAATTCTTCCACCTGGAGGGTCTGGAGGTGGACAAGTTGTGGCATTGAGGATGGCGAGCTGGCTTCCAGCACCCCAGGGTAGCTCAGGTCTTCTCTTGGTGGTCTCTGGCCTCACACACCTGGACCCAGGGCAGGGCACTTGGACAAACATGCTTGACAGGAGAAGCCTACGGAGGCAATATATTGCACTGGACAGCACTGACACTCATATTTGTGTTTTTTTCCAGTGATTTGAGGTTGGGGTTTTTTTTCCTCCTCTTCTCTTTTCTGTTCAAACCATCAGCTTCAGATCCCAGCACAACACACCCATGAAGCAGCTAACCTCAGCAGTGACTCCTGGGTGCTACTTGCAGAACTACTGGGACCAAATCAATAGTGCAAGGGCAATGTATACACTAACAAATAATTTCTAAAGTACTGATTTGATTATTTGCACAAGTAGAGATTAAAGATGCTATGTAAGGCATTTTCTTCATTCCCAATTTTTTTGGCCTTATATGAGACTATATTTGAATAAAAGAAAAATTGTTACTGTGTTGTTATATAAGTTCACAAAATAGTTCATAAAAAAAGAAAAAGTTTAAGTTACTCACAGCTACTCCTCTCTTCTCTAGCTCTTTAAACACAGACTTGATTGGAAGGGAAAAAGATAGCGTGAGTTGGCATCCTCTTTCCTCAATCTGAGATGGCGTAATTATTTTCACAAAAGGTTTCTCTGGATTTGTTTTATCCTCATCATAGTAATGTTTTATCAGGTATTCCAAGTAACCAGTGAGTAGAACAGATTTCTTCCTCAATGCTTTCATCGTAGTTTGACTAAAAACCTATAATGATTTTAAATCATTAGAATGATAATGTATTGTTATGGAAAATAAAAAGGAAGAAAACTAAAAGGCAGCAGATTTCTCTATACATTATCATTAGAATCAAGTGGTAATAACAGATAGATGTTATACGAAACATGTAGGATTGGGCTTTTGAAAACATAGGAGAATGTTATTACTTGAGATAATTAAAGACGTTTCTGTGTGGTGTTAAAAAGTTTTACACACATTCATATCTACATAAATGAACTTGCACACAAAACCAGTTTGTTAGGAGAGTGTTCATTTGCATATCTGAAGAGGATCCATAAATTCTCTACAGACACAACAGGGCTGCACGGAACTCAAAAATCATACACAAGTTTTCCCTTGTGCCTCAGGTAACGAAATCAAGATTGAAACATCATGACTGATCTAAAAATTCTTGTCTTTGAAAACACAAAACTTAAAGCAGTAAAACCAATACATTAGTATAAGTCCTGTAGAGGCTCCATCTCCGCTAGTTCGCACGAAAAAAAAAAATCACTTGATTCTGGTTTGATAGTTCTATGCTTTTGTGCAGCTATAAGGACTGATGAACTGCAGACACTCAAAACATCATGAGATGCAAAAGTGATTGCTAAAAAATAGCAGCACTACTTTGCCACACAAACAAGAACAAACAACGTGGCAGAAGAGTCTTGAAGCAGAAGACGAGAGAGCTTCTGCTTGTGCTCCAGAAAGGTTCAGCTGCAAGGAATAATGGAATGTGTGGTCCCAGAAAAAAATTTCCCCTGTCTTCCTCAAAGCCTCCCTTTTCTTCTTCCCATGCAAGGAGCTTCAGGGAAAAATGACAATATACAGGCATGCAAGTCCCCGATAGTCACTTCAGATCACATTCTGGCACATAAACGCAATATCACTGCTCGTGGGCGCTTATGGCTCCACCAACTGCAGCTGTAAAACTATAGGCAAGACAGAGGTCCTGTGTGAAAATCCATCATCTTCATTCTCAGGAAATCACTACTACACACTGAAGGCGTAACATCTTATATCATAATAACCCAATGACATAGTTTAGTGCTAGGTTAACAGTTCGACTTGATGATCTCAGAGGTCTTTTCCAACCTAAATGATTCTATAACCCAGAAGTGTGTATAAAGAGGTAACTGGGAAATTTTACTCAAAATACAACAGAGTGGTTTCCAGTAGCATCCGGAAATCACTCTTTTGCAGAATACCTCAAGTATTATTCTGTGATGCTACCACAACCATAAAACCAAAAGCCTCTACATGTGATTTCTGCTGCAAGATGGACTTTGAGCAGAGACCACAGTCACAGAAATGAACATGACAGGGACCAGAGCCATCAGCAGCCGGTACTTGCACAGGTCAGGGAAAATGCAGAGCTGCTTCCCTCACCACACTCTGCAGGCAGAGTGCACACATTAATGTTCAGCACATTACTGGAGGTAAAATGGAGACCTGCCTCCTGCTCCTCGGGAGTTTGCAGCAGCGTGAGGGATGGATCTCCTTAGGCTGCATGCAAAAATCTGTTCGCTCAGACTTTGCGCGAGCAATATTTGGCCTCCTGGGTGAAATTTTTTGAAAAAGATCTTTTCAATGGGGCTGTAGAGTTCTTCCCTTTTATGGAAAAAAGGGAGCAGCTACCACCATAACAGTCACTTTAAGCATTATTGAGGAATAACATCTATTAACACTTGCAGTTTTCATTGTTTCCATTGGAAACACTGCCTTCTGCTTAATGTGTCCCAGTGAAGGTGGCATGCAATTTCACTAGCCATCTCTTGCCAGACATGAAAACTATTCTGTTTCCCACTGTATTAGAGCAATTAGCACTGGGAAATCCTGGGTGTGCCAAAAGGTAATACAGGCACGGAAAGGGGAGGCGATGGAAACTGCTCAGCCCTCATTGTTTGAGGCTCCCTGCAGTGGGCTAAATGACATCAACCCACACAAACTGGAGCACTGACAATCTGGGTCATAGCAGAATAGCTTTCGGCTTATCTCGAAGGTCACATAAAGTTTAAAAAAATATATTGGATGTTTAAGGACTAACAAAATAAATTGTCACGCAGAACAAGCAGCATTGCTGTGCCTTTTGCAGTCCTTCAGTGTTGCACGTAAGCTGGAGAGAGCACAACTGGCAATTTTCTGACACTGTTTGTTTAAGATACCATTTTTTCTTTAAATAAACAAGAGGAATGTACAGAGTATGGACATGGCTCTTTGTTTCAGCCTCGGCTTTGCCATTAATGGAGTGGTAGCAAAAATAAATTTGTCCCATTCACGCTGGTGACAAAATCTTGCTAAGCAAGGCTGGCTTGAAAAGCAGCTTAGAAAAAAAATCAGTATAGTAGTATATATAGCATATAGTAGAGAAATCTATGTAAAACCATCCTTTGCAGCCACAAAGACCTAGAGTCCTGCATTTCAGGGATGAATGAACTGTAGGAGAAATGCTGCTACATCCCAATATGAAACACAGTGTGATACAAGGTGTTTGGGGGACATCTACATCCCTTCAAACAAGACTGAATAGTGCTCTCCAAGACAGACCAGAGAGCTTTCAGCACAGGAAGGGATTTGCTCTGAATGGCAGGACTGCCGTTTCCACAGCAATGGCCTCAGCAGTTCATACAGACCTAAGTCAGAGATTAGGCTCTACTCACAGAATCACAGAATCACAGAATGTTAGGGGTTGGAAGGGACCTCTGAAGATCATCTAGTCCAACCTTAATCCCAGCATACCTAACCACTACACCACTAACCTACCTACCTACACCACTACACCACCTAACCATACCTAACCACTACACCACTCCTTTGGCCACCAGACAACTAACAAAAAGATTAAAGAAAAAACATTCTGGAGCTACACCACACTTATTAATTCCCCTATCAGGAAGCATTCACAGACAGTTTCTGTCTTTTCTGTTTGTATTGAAAGGGATAACAGTGGATGGCAGGTTCCCTCAGCCACTGATTCGATTTAGACTCCAGGACATCCAGTGGTTCATGTCCGTTTTCTTTCGTAAAGGAGTTAAGTCGGGTTTGCCCAGGGAGATATATGTGGAAGCAACTCTTGATGCAACTTTTCGGAGTTAAGCACAGGAAGATCTTGAACAGCATCCTTGGCATGAGTTGCACTGAGGCAAGCTCCAATATCACTATGGGAAATGCTGCCAGGACAAACATATTGGTCAGGTCTGGAGCAGAAAACCTCAGATATGTTGGGTCCAACTGCAAAGTTTGTGAGAAGAGTGAAGGGATTAGTATATTTATTAAAGGCCTTGGTCTTGCAGGGTTGTGGGGTTATTTTTTTCTTTTTTCCTTTTCCTCTCATCTTTCATTTTTTAACTATTCTGCATATTTTTTTCTAAGGGAGAAAGCAATAATACACGTAAGATTCATTTAACATTTTTAAACTCAGGCTCAAAGTAAAGCAATTACTTACCTCTAAACTAGCTTGCAAAGCACAGACCAGTAAAATTGGAGGATTTGATAACCGAAATCCATTAATTCCTTCACTTAGTTGTAATTCTGGAAAATGAATAACTTATATTAGTGTTTTTGATTTCTTCCTTTTAATGGATTGGACCTTATCTTGAAGTCCATCCTCACGCAATAACATATTTCACTAATGTGGCCTGTAGGAATCAGTCATTAAAAGGAAATAGTAATCTATTCACTGCTAATACTTTTAACTTCGAGAGAAGCCCAATTTTACCCAGCGGAAGACCTCATTAGCGGCTTCATGGGAACTAGAGAACTGCAATTAATTTGTTTAAATGGTGTGTGTTAAAACCACCTTTACACTTGAATCTCTTTTAACACTGGCACAAACCAGAGAAATTCCCAGTCAGCAGAGACGCGCTCTTGCTGAGCCGTGCTGAACGAGCAGGGAATCACGTTCCTTAACTTTATTAAACTGACGAGACACGTGGGAGACTGCATATGCAGCTAAGTGTAGCTTCAGGCCACGCAGAGAAGTTGCCGAGACTTTAGGCTGTGAAATTTCACAAAATCTATTCAATAAATCTATAAAGCCTCGCTGTAAGTTTCGTGTCACCATTTATATTTCATGCTCCAGCACCGGAGCAAGACGAGGCTGCGGAGGAAATTCTTTTTGTGCACAGCAGACTGGCTAATTTTATAATGGTTGTTGCCCAACTTCTTCCTTGTAAACTGCCCATGGAAATGAATAAACGACCTTTTTTGTCTTCTAGCAGCATTGTAAGGGAATTTGTGTCTCCTGCTGGCTTTCCACAGTACTACTCTCTTACATATGGTCAGAAAACAAGAGCAGGCTGAGGCTATTAGAGAGATGTTCTCCAGCCAAAGTCACATCAACAGGCGCTGCCACAGAAAAATTAAAAATATATTAAAAAGAAAATCACCATTCAAACCAAAAAGCTCCTTTGTTTTCTTGATCCCATAGGATATTCTCTCTGCCATACTTTAAAATAAAGCTGAACAGTCTAGCTGCGAGATTTGGAAAGCAGTCCTCCTTTCATACTGGGACAATAAATACTTTGCTATTTTAGAGCAGGTTTGGTTTTGTCTCATAATCCATCCTTTGCTAGCGCAAGGAATTTGGAGATGTGGAAACATTAGGGGTATTTCATGACTTAGGTCAAGTTGTCTTACCTTTATTTAGATAATTTCTCATTAATTCCAACGGAACTAATCCCAAAGTAAGATATTACCCAAGTGAATGATAGCAGATAGTCGTTCCTCAGAGACTTATGAGTTTAATTCACTGAGATATTTTTAAAGTTTCTTCCATATTCTGTACCTGCATTTTGAAGGTATTTCAGCAAAATGTCTAGAAGCAGCCAGATAGTCAGACCCATGTGCCCAGAGACCACGTTCATTCCCACATTTATTTTGTATTGCATTACATATTTGGGATGAGTTTAACTTAATACCTTTAATGTAAGTGCGTAGATGTAAAGTTCTATCCTTTTTATTCAGACTACTATAAATGTGAAGCTGGTTGTATATAAATACATCAGATCAAGTAAAATTGAAAGTATAAAAGTACATACTGTTTTCCATCAGGAATCGGGTTTTGAAGTCGTGGCCCCACCAGCCAATCAACCTAAGATTTTGTAAAGAGAGTAAATTAAGAGCAATCTTGGTATAATAACTTCAAATTTAGATTTGAGAGTTAAGAATTATATAAGTAAGATGAAGAAATATCTATGTTTCTAATAATATATTGTGTTGCTAACAATGACATAAAAATACAATAAATTCTACAAAAAGCTAGCACTAAAAACTTAACAGTACTATTTTGAAATTTCTCTTTAACTACTAATGATAAAATGTACCACGCCTTTCAATTAACTATTGATTTTTAACAATATCCATTTTGCTGGAATTCATTTCACAAAATGAAAAATATAACAGAAACATTTTCACTGTTTTGTTCCACGGCAATAAATTCAGTCCCCCTGCCCTTAAACTTAGTTTAGTGGATATTGAAAGCTAGAAGATGTTATAAAATTTGACTCAATTTCACCAAGAAAAGAAGTTATTGATGGATACCAGACAGACCACAGGACCTTGGAAGAAGGATTGTGTGGGCATTGCCTTTTCTTTACTTTGAGACAGCAATGTGAGTTCAAACTAAACTTTTCCTCTCCTAAACCGAAGTTATTATTAAAAAATTTTCCTCAAAATGAAAACCAAACCAATTTAATCCAAAAATCATTAAGGTCACCAACAGGAAAAAAAAAAAAAAAAGGATCAGTTACTTTGAAAATCATTTAAGCAAGCTTTTACATTTAGTATTTGACACTACCTTATTAACTCATATTCGCTGAAAAATATGCTCGCTCAAGGACATAGCTACAAAGAGTTTTCCAAAGCAGCTGGATGCACTGGATGACCTAGTGCCCAAGGCACTGCAAATAAAGTCAATACTGCAAAATCAAGGAGTCTCTTCCCATCTCCCTTGGGTTCTCTACATCTTAATTCCATACACGGTGATATCAGTGACTAAAAAATGTCAGTAGTACTTGAAATTTCCCATGCATCAATGCCATTACAATAGCAAGAATTCACCATGACAGACTCCTTTCTGACCTAAGGTCTCCAGGGTTGGACATGTTAGACACCATTTCTTCCCAAGCTTTGCTCAGTTTTCTCTATGCCACGTAGTAGAGTTGTTAGGAGTGAAGCCTGGCAAGCTTTCAAAATTTGGAAGAGTAAAAAATGATAGGTAAAACTCATGGTAGATCAGCCTTCTGAGAACTAAATAAGGAAAGTCATTGCCCCTTTCCAAAGCAGGAGCACCTTTTTGCAGTACTCTCAAAAGAGCTTAGCTCTGCAGAATTACACCACGTTTGAGTTAAAAAAATTGTTATATGAACACTGCAGAGCGTAAAATAAAGTACTTCATATTTCTGTATAACAACATAGGGCTTATGTTTACCTCTATGAAAGGCTCTGAGCTGCATCCAAACATAGTGTGTACAGAAAAAGTATACTTTTTATTGCTGCCTGATGTTTTTATTATTCTAAGACCCATGAAAATCAATAGTGCAATATGCATTCATTTCAAATGAGGTATTACATTGACAAAATGAATATACCCCAAATAAAGTATAAGGCAGCTTTTGCCCAAATGACGCCGTTACTGATGCTTTGAATTATAAAAGATATTCCAGCTATTTCATATGAACTGTATAATATACATAGAACATTTTCCTATAAGCCCTGAATATTATATATCTTACTACTATATATTGCTAATGTCAATGACATGCGCAACCTGTGAATTCCAAAAGCTTTAAACAGAAAAAAAAAAAAGAATCCATGGGAAATATAACATTTGGGCTACTACTCTGTATCAAGGAGAGACCACCACTATATTCTGTTTGGATGACATCCTGAAGTCAAAGACAAAATAAACATAATTCAGAGTATTACCCAGATAGAGCCTGATGAAAAGCACTCTGGTTGCATTTTGAGCGCTCAAAACCTGTGAACTTTGAAACTGGCTTAAAACCACAGCTCTGCTGCAGCACCACATTTGCAACTTGAAAATCAAAATTTCAGAACTTTTCCAAAATGACAGAATGAAGGATTTTTTTTTTTTTAAGAGACAGTTTCAGCTGTCTTGCCCTTTCCTACCATAACTTTGACAATTTGCTGCTTTTTTTTTTTTCTCCTTTCTTCTTGGCTGTTCTAGAACTTCAGAGGTGTCACTACAGGATGTGCACTTTGAGGCAGCTCTGGTCCTACGCTCTCATTGATCTAATGGGCCATATGGATGTCACATTATCTGACATTTAAGTTGACAGGCTTCAAAGTGTGGAAATTAACGAAATCTTTACAAATTAGCAATTTGCTGTTTACAATTTTCTGTGAAAATTTTGAAATGAAGGTTGCCACTGCTGTGCCAAATTTCAACCTGTTACGATGGGAAATAGCTAAGGTGTTAAACCCTAAACATAAGGCTTTATAAATGCTCGCTAAAAATAATAGGCAATAAAACTGCACATTAAGATACTGCGGTAAAATTTCCTATTAAAGGGTTGTTATTCTGCAATAAAATGAGTATTTTGAAATGCAGTCCCCGTTTTGACTATTGCTGCTTCAGAAACAAAGGCAGCAAGATCTAAATTGATTTTGAATTCCAAACCACAATCTTGGCAAAATGCATAAGGCTCTAAAGCCTTATATGACACGCTTGTGTACAAAATCACCTTAGATAGGTTAGCTACAGGACTCTACAGTTACATTATTTTCATTGCAGATAAAACCCATTTTAGAGAGTGTGTTAAAAATCAGTGTCTGGGGATGAAAGGGTCTAATTTTGCAACTGTTCCACTATAAACCTTTGAGAATTGTGTTTTACTGGTCACTACCCTTTATGTGGTGGCCAAACCCAACCACTTGTCTGGTTTTAACATATCACTGACCAAAATGTTTTATCCCAGTGACGGCCAGCTTGCGGTGGGTGTGGGGATGGCCTCCCATGGCCAGCCCCAGGTACCCGCAGCCTTCATCAGAGATGGTCCTGGAGCATCTCTAGAGCTACCATCTCTCCATCCAGCAGCAAAAGCATAAGTGAAACCCACTGCAATCATACCAAAAAGGAAAGCAAATTAGTGCCAAATCACCTGTGGGTATCTCCTCTGAGGTGTGCATGTTCTTACAAGCCTACTTCTGCAAACAAAAATCCACTTTTAAAAATAGATAGTGCACTGATCTATTTTGTGGCTCAGATAAGCCCCATGTCCTCGTGGTTTGATAACACTGAGACTTTCCCAGTGAATTCTGCAGCTTTCCAGTCTATGCACAGAGCTAGTTTTTAAGTGTGCCACATAAAATTTAAAGCAAAGTGGTAGCTAGTTCAACTTCATGAAACATGCAGGCCTAGAATGAAATATAGTAATATTAAAATATTGTATTCTTACCCCAAAGTGTTCTCTTATTTTACAAATCAACGCACAAAGATTTGCTGGGTTGGAAAATGACTCCAGAAAAAAAGTAACAGTATCCTCTCATTTAGTCAAACTCTCTTTAAGTACATTTACACCAGGGAACAATCTCTTCAATAAGTATTTTTATTTCGCTCATTTTCTCCCTTCATATCTGTCTGTGTTTGACTGAAACGCTGGTTGTTCATACTTGAGTCATCTCTTTTGTAGTTGCATTAATGATGCAAGAGTGCAAGATATAATGACCGTGATGTATGTGCAGTGTAACATCAAAGAAGAACCAGTTAAAGAATACAGAGAAAATAATAATTAAAAAAAAATTCCTTTGACCTTTGCTTCAAACTTACAGATGATCATGCTACTCATTTATAATTTATAGCCTGAAGCAACATGGGTGTCATTTCCCTTCTTGGCAATGAAAAAAAATAAAGCAGCTCTTGAGTAGTGATAGAGAAAACAGGGAAATACCATTAATGTTGCCCAATTTCTACAATCCAGGGCAATGCGCTGGAAGTATGCTGTTCATTACATTGTGTGAGAAATAATTTCATGTCCGTGAGAAAGCATGAAAGCATGTTGAAAAGCTAAAAAAGGAATGCAGTGTGAAATCAGTAATACTTTATACTACACTTGCCAGCTTCACTGGGCATGGAACAGCTTGTCTTCTCTCCATTATCAGGTCACAACACTACCTAGAAATTTCATCTTCATTACTTGGATTATATCTATATTAGGAGCATATACCAGCAAAGCATGCTGTGTTTATGAAACCATGGATTAAACTAAATCATAAGCAGGCAGTTTTGGGGCAGACTGTGTCTGTAAAGCGGTTGATGGAGCTCCTGGGTAGCAGCTAAGCTCTTCGTTCACACCTCTCACAGAAGTGAGGCACGTATTATGCTGCATCTGCAAAGGCAGCCTTGTTCAGGAAAAGGAACGAAATGGCCAACAAAATTCATTAAGTTCAGCTTCTTGCACTCTTACAGGACCACGACACAACTGTCTGGTTGGAGAGCAGATCCATTCCCTGTTCTTATGTCTCACAAAACCCTTAAGATCTAGAACAGAAAAACATCAGACGCGGTGCAGCATGACGCAAGTTTAGAGAACAGAGGTTGACTGTGACTCTGATATCACTCTATTAGCAGCAAATGCATTACATAAACAACCCACGAGGTCTTAGGAATTGGACTACAAAAGAATACAGAAAGCCTGGAGGCTGGAGCCAGACTGGTGCTAGGAACAAACCATCCAGCCTCAGTCACAACAATTTGACCGTGTTTGACCATCATCCTTCTTCCTAGAAGAACGTGGTGGTACCACACTACTGCGCCACATCTGAAGTCCGTCTCTGCCCAGATGTTTTGTTTAAAATAGCAAGTTAGAAAACCAAATAAATAATACAGTCAACTCCCAAAGACCACAAATGTTCTTTAATATGACTTGCTACCATATATGAATCTCCAGCTCAAGTGAAAATTTAATTCTAGATCTTGAGGTACATTCTTCCAGTGTCCTGGGCTCCACGTAGAGAAATATGGAAAGAAAAAATAGCTAGGACTCAGGTTCTGAGCAGAAGCATCTCATGTTGCTGTTCTCAAGGGCCAATCCCAGAAGGCAAACCCACATAAGCAGCTGTATCACCTCC